ATATTGTCAGTGGAGTATTCGGTATACTGAAATGGTATGTAACACACACAACAAACATCATACGTTTGACTAAGAAAGATTAAGGAGAAAGAAAGAATAAGACATGTCTTTACATTTTATTGAACATGATGGTGTGTGTAAGTTGTTTATCATTGTGAGGAGAACGCATTCATATTCCTTTCCTCGCTGCTGTCGGATTTAAGTCCCCTAGATTTGTCGATTCTCTTTATTGAGGAGGCTCTATGTAAATCTTTCCTTTGTTCATGTTTTTCCTAGATTCGTCGAATTTTAAATACGATTTTGTTTACATATCGGTATTTTCTTTGTTGAATTTTACATACTTTTTCATAAATCTATGGTAGCATATGACATCGTAAGGTAAATATTTTAAGTATTTTCGTCGTTTATTATTTTATCATTGCAGTATTTAAGTGGTTTACACAATCCGTAGTGTTTTTTCAGTCAGAACACACACTTATCATTTCCTCATGTTTACATAGATGACTGCACTACCTAGGTGTTAATATTGATCTGTCGTAATGACGTCATCGTCTTGTTTACTAATGATCCGCAATGGAGCATGACGGTCTTTGTAACGTCAGAACCAATAATAATGACGTATATTATCCTCGTGTCAAGTACATTTTATAGCAACTCCATGGACCGTGACAAAATTTGGGGTGAAAAACAGAACCAAAGTAAACATCCAACATGTACGCGGGAAATGCATATAACGAAAAAGCTATCCTAAATCGACAGAGACCGAGCACGTGGGACGTCATGGTAATAATAGTGGGCGGGGTGGGGCTATTGGTCTCTGCTATAACTAAACATGTCACACATAACTGGTTTATTCAGCCGTGGAAGACACCCATATCTCACAAGTCTTTAAGCTTATCCAAGACGCTGGTGTTATAACAACATTGTGACGTCATTAATAAGTAATTCCATGTATTTTTCTCTTTAATGAAAAAGTGAAATGTTAAAAAAAAAATTCAGAATCTGTCAGTGGGGAAGACATTTGGTTTTCTTACACCTTGTCCATGTAACGAAGGAATAACAATCTAATACTTAGTGTATACAGATGACAGGAGGAGCTATACCTTCTAACAGAAATTTGTAGTTATGTACGAAAGCCAACTCTCTACATTACACAGATTGTTTGTCGTTCTAGGATTCGTCAGTGATGTTAATGGCCCAAATTTTAAACCTAAGACTAAGAGACAAATGGAAATCCAAAGCGATCGAGAGAAAAGTCTAGATGTGGATGTGCACTAACCCCATAATCATATACATTCCGTTATTTGCATAAATGTGATATTTTCCCAACAATGTCATATACGTGTGTAAATATTCTTAAACGTGTCACTATTCGAATGAATTAAAACGTCACCAGCAGGTAACGACAAACCTCGGAAGTTAGATGGGTAGCGTATAGCTGACATTGTCGTCCTTAACCTTTGTTTATCTGGTAAACACCTGACTGTTCGGAAACTAAACATGTCTGATGTCGTGGCTTTGAGGATATATTCTATTAATTTTCATTCTTTTTTACATTGATTCTTTGAATTTGTCACAGGCTAGAGGCTAGGGGATGAGAATTTGTCCATGAGGCTAGGGCTATGGGATGATCTTTGTCCATGAGGCTAGGGGATGAGAATTTGTCCATGAGGCAAGGGGATGATTCTTTGTCCATGAGGCTAGGGGATGATTCTTTGTCCATGAGGCTAGGGGATGAGAATTTGTCCATGAGGCTAGGGGATGAGAATTTGTCCATGAGGCTGGGGGATGATTCTTTGTCCTCGAGGCTAGGGGATGATTCTTTGTCCACGAGGCTAGGGGATGATTCTATGTCCTCGAGGCTAGGGGATGATTCTTTGTCCACGAGGCTAGGGGATGAGAATTTGTCCATGAGGCTAGGGGATGATTCTTTGTCCACGAGGCTAGGGGATGATATTTTGTCCACGAGGCTAGGGGATGATATTTTGTCCATGAGGCTAGGGGATGATTCTTTGTCCACGAGGCTAGGGGATGATTCTTTGTCCATGAGGCTAGGGGAGAGGCTAGGGGATTTGTCTAGGGGATGATTCTTTGGGGGGATGATAATTTGATGAATTTGTCCATGAGGCTAGGGGATGAGAATTTGTTCATGAGGCTAGGGGATGGTTCTTTGTCTATGAGGCTAGGGGATGAGAATTTGTCCATGAGGCTAGGGGATGAGAATTTGTCCATGAGGCTAGGGGATGATTCTTTGTCCATGAGGCTAGGGGATGATTCTTTGTCCATGAGGCTAGGGGATGATTCTTTGTCCATGAGGCTAGGGGATGATTCTTTGTCCATGAGGCTAGGGGATGATTCTTTGTCCATGAGGCTAGGGGATGATTCTTTGTCCATGAGGCTAGGGGATGAGAATTTGTCCATGAGGCTAGGGGATGATTCTTTGTCCATGAGGCTAGGGGATGATTCTTTGTCCATGAGGCTAGGGGATGATTCTTTGTCCATGAGGCTAGGGGATGTGAATTTGTCCATGAGGCTAGGGGATGGTTCTTCGTCTATGAGGCTAGGGGATTATTCTTTGTCCATGAGGCTAGGGGATGATTCTTTGTCCATGAGGCTAGGGGATGATTCTTTGTCCATGAGGCTAGGGGATGATTCTTTGTCCATGAGGCTAGGGGATGATTCTTTGTCCATGAGGCTAGGGGATGATTCTTTGTCCATGAGGCTAGGGGATGATTCTTGAGAATTTGTCCATGAGGCTAGGGGATGATTCTTTGTCCATGAGGCTAGGGGATGATTCTTTGTCCATGAGGCTAGGGGATGAGAATTTGTCCATGAGGCTAGGGGATGAGAATTTGTCCATGAGGCTAGGGGATGAGAATTTGTCCATGAGGCTAGGGGGTAAGAATTTGTCCACGAGGCTAGGGGATGAGAATTTGTCCATGAGGCTAGGGGATGATTCTTTGTCCATGAGGCTAGGGGATGAGAATTTGTCCATGAGGCTAGGGGATGATTCTTTGTCCATGAGGCTAGGGGATGATAGGGGATGATTCTTTGTCCATGAGGCTAGGGGATGATTCTTTGTCCATGAGGCTAGGGGATGAGAATTTGTCCATGAGGCTAGGGGATGAGAATTTGTCCATGAGGCTAGGGGATGATTCTTTGTCCATGAGGCTAGGGGATGATTCTTTGTCCATGAGGCTAGGGGATGAGAATTTGTCCATGAGGCTAGGGGATGATTCTTTGTCCATGAGGCTAGGGGATGATTCTTTGTCCATGAGGCTAGGGGATGATTCTTTGTCCATGAGGCTAGGGGATGATATTTTGTCCATGAGGCTAGGGGATGAGAATTTGTCCACGAGGCTAGGGGATTATTCTTTGTCCATGAGGCTAGGGGATGAGAATTTGTCCACGAGGCTAGGGGATGATTCTTTGTCCATGAGGCTAGGGGATGATTCTTTGTCCATGAGGCTAGGGGATGATTCTTTGTCCATGAGGCTAGGGGATGATTCTTTGTCCATGAGGCTAGGGGATGAGAATTTGTCCATGAGGCTAGGGGATGATTCTTTGTCCATGAGGCTAGGGGATGAGAATTTGTCCATGAGGCTAGGGGATGATTCTTTGTCCATGAGGCTAGGGGATGATTCTTTGTCCATGAGGCTAGGGGATGAGAATTTGTCCATGAGGCAAGGGGATGATTCTTTGTCCATGAGGCTAGGGGATGAGAATTTGTCCATGAGGCAAGGGGATGAGAATTTGTCCATGAGGCTAGGGGATGATAATTTGTCCATGAGATGATTCTTTGTCCATGAGGCTAGGGGATGAGTCTTTGAGAATTTGTCCATGAGGCTAGGGGATGAGAATTTGTCCATGAGGCTAGGGGATGAGAATTTGTCCATGAGGCTAGGGGATGAGAATTTGTCCATGAGGCTAGGGGATGAGAATTTGTCCATGAGGCTAGGGGATGAGAATTTGTCCACGAGGCTAGGGGATGAGAATTTGTCCATGAGGCTAGGGGATGAGAATTTGTCTAAGAGGCTAGGGGATGAGAATTTGTCCATGAGGCTAGGGGATGGTTCTTCGTCTATGAGGCTAGGGGATGGTTCTTTGACTATGAGGCTAGGGGATGAGAATTTATCCACTACATAAAGTGGGGGGTAATTGATGCGTTTTCTCGCTTACACTTGTACATTCGTTACACTGTTTTAATTAATTATTTCCTTCCGGCAAATCTAGAATCCTGAGATAATTTCTGTGATACATATGATATTAATTCTAAATTATGATACAGTCGTAGTATGGTCGTTTGTAACACTAAGTCGAGATATCATTTCTGTGATATCATGTTTGTCAGGATATTTATGTCATCAATTTTAGGTGTTTATAAATGATTACACTTTCGGATATATGTACAATAAGAGAATATAATTAGTGGTTTGTAGACTTTCAGTTCTACTGCGGCGTGTATGCTTTTTATCATAATTTTAATAATTTGTTCTATATTATTGATAATTTTCTTTAGAATGACAGAATATTGATATCTATAGTAGAATAATAGAATTGTATAATCATGTAGTGATGAATATACTGATATCCGTCTGTCCACCATTCCGTTACTTTAATGTATACTGATATCCGTCTGTCCACCATTCCGTTACTTTAATGTATACTGATACCCGTCTGTCCGTCATTCCGTTACTTTAATGTATACTGATGTCCGTCTGTCCGTCATTCCGTTACTTTAATGTATACTGATGTCGGTCTGTCCGTCATTCCGTTACTTTAATGTATACTGATGTCCATCTGTCGGTAATTCCGTTACTTTAATTCATGGTGTTTTTTCTTTTTTTTTTTAAAAAAAAATAACATGCTCTGTAGTCATAATGTTTAGAGTCTGCAACGCAATAGTAGTAAAACGTTGAGACAAAGTATACGATAGTGAATGAAACACCTGAAAGTTTGAAAGATCTATTTACCAGTAACAGCATTGTTTCCTGTTGCAGTGACAATTCATGGCGGTGCCCCATTTAAAGGATTTATGTTAATGGCGGCCGAAGATTCACTGATGGACATGCCGACGGGAAAGTTTTTTGCTAATGGAGCAACGGATGTAAAGACAATGTTTTGTTCGTTTCCTGGCGACGCTGCCACACATACAGATAGCAAATGGAAGTCTCACATAACTGTGGACTGGTACGCACCTGCATTTACCTCAGCTGATCATATGCAGTTCATGTAAGTAACTAACACACCCAACAATTATCTTTCGGATTTTCATTTGAGAATCAGTCAAAGATTGTTTTTATTCTTACCTATTTCAGAGTAAGACACAGGAAATATATATATATATATAAACCCAAAACCAACAAACAAACAAAAAAGCAATATGAAATGTTCCTTACTTTTGCACCATTCAAATGCGTGATGTATGCAGCAACGTATTATGGCCCTGATTCCAACATCTATCAAAGATATAATGTGTTAGGTAACATATATTCTCAACTTGAGTCTAAATCACAAACAAACCATGGAAACATGTAAAATACAAAATGTCGTGTATTTTGTGAAAATGACATTGTGTTTATCATTTACAAAGTGTTTAAAGCAGATCAATAAACACGTACGGTTAGATCTACACGTATACAGTGACACATGAACAGTGTAGGTGGGTTCTTACAGCTTTGGTGGTAAAAATAATCAATGATTAATTATCAAAATCAACAGATGTTGCAAAAAAATGAATTTACCATGTTATCTTACTCCAACATATAATACCAAAGGGAAATAACTCGATCAATAAATGATTCTTTGGTGTAAAAATCATTGAGTACAACGTAAACATAAAACTGATCACCTCTGACATCTAAATTACACCAGTTACACATTCTAATTATCGGTAATTACTTTTTCATCCTAATTATCTATTGACGTATAGTAATTAAGTTAATAAAAATCCCGTTATAGAAATAATGTTTTTGAAAAATCCAGTTATGATAAAACTGATTTGGTTTCTTATATTTCCGAATGGTTCTTTAAGAAGAACATGTACCCACTTTTGCCGAGGAGAGTTTACCTTGGTTGTGTAAACTAGATGTTGTCCTGTGGTGACTGGTTTAAACTACCATACTCTCTGTACAGTTTATCCTGAGGTTATGTAAACTTGATGTTTGCCTGTGGTGACTGGTTTAAACTACCAAACTCTCTGTACAGTTTACCCTGAGGTTATGTAAACTTGATGTTTCCCTGTTGTGACTGGTTAAAACTACCATACTCTCTGTACAGTTTACCCTGAGGCTGTGTTAACTAGATGTTGTCCTGTGGTGACTGGTTAAAACTACCAACACTCTCTGTACAGTTTACCCTGAGGTTGTGTAAACTTGATGTTTGCCTGTGGTGACTGGTTTAAACTACCAAACTCTCTGTACAGTTTACCCTGAGGCTGTGTTAACTAGATGTTGTCCTGTGGTGACTGATTTAAACTACCATACTCTCTGTACAGTTTACCCTGAGGTTATGTAAACTTGATGTTTCCCTGTTGTGACTGGTTAAAACTACCATACTCTCTGTACAGTTTACCCTGAGGCTGTGTTAACTAGATGTTGTCCTGTGGTGACTGGTTTAAACTACCAACACTCTCTGTACAGTTTACCCTGAGGCTGTGTTAACTAGATGTTGTCCTGTGGTGACTGATTTAAACTACCATACTCTCTGTACAGTTTACCCTGAGGTTATGTAAACTTGATGTTTCCCTGTTGTGCCTGGTTAAAACTACCATACTCTCTGTACAGTTTATCCTGAGGTTATGTAAACTTGATGTTTGCCTGTGGTGACTGGTTTAAACTACCAAACTCTCTGTACAGTTTACCCTGAGGTTGTGTAAACTTGATGTTTGCCTGTGGTGACTGGTTTAAACTACCAAACTCTCTGTACAGTTTACCCTGAGGTTGTGTAAACTTGATGTTTGCCTGTGGTGACTGGTTTAAACTACCAAACTCTCTGTACAGTTTACCCTGAGGCTGTGTTAACTAGATGTTGTCCTGTGGTGACTGATTTAAACTACCAAACTCTCTGTACAGTTTACCCTGAGGTTATGTAAACTTGATGTTTCCCTGTTGTGCCTGGTTAAAACTACCATACTCTCTGTACAGTTTATCCTGAGGTTATGTAAACTTGATGTTTGCCTGTGGTGACTGGTTTAAACTACCAAACTCTCTGTACAGTTTACCCTGAGGTTGTGTAAACTTGATGTTTGCCTGTGGTGACTGGTTTAAACTACCAAACTCTCTGTACAGTTTACCCTGAGGTTGTGTAAACTTGATGTTTGCCTGTGGTGACTGGTTTAAACTACCAAACTCTTTGTACAGTTTACCTTTGTTGTGTAAACTAGATGTTTGCCTGTTGAAACTACCAAACTCTCTGTATAGTTTACCTTGGTTGTGTAAACTAGATGCTTGCCTGTGGTGACTGGTTGAAACTACCAACACTCTCTGTACAGTTTATCCTGAGGTTATGTAAACTTGATGTTTCCCTGTGGTGACTGGTTAAAACTACCAAACTCTCTGTACAGTTTACCCTGAGGTTGTGTAAACTAGATGTTGTCCTGTGGTGACTGGTTAAAACTACCAAACTCTCTGTACAGTTTACCCTGAGGTTGTGTAAACTTGATGTTTGCCTGTGGTGACTGGTTAAAACTACCAAACTCTCTGTACAGTTTACCCTGAGGTTGTGTAAACTAGATGTTGTCCTGTGGTGACTGGTTAAAACTACCAAACTCTCTGTACAGTTTACCCTGAGGTTGTGTAAACTTGATGTTTGCCTGTGGTGACTGGTTAAAACTACCAAACTCTCTGTACAGTTTACCCTGACAGTTTCCCCTGAATGCTGGAGTAGCGCTGTATAACTATAAAATAAAGGAGAGCTGTAAATACCTAGAGAGGCATGGACTTCAGAGTTATTACCTCATGGTCAGAGTTATTGTGTATGTTTTATGTAAAATGAAATCAGGAATTGATTCTATTTATGAAGTGTGCGGACGTTAAATTTTACACCTTAAAGATAAAGCGCAAGTGTTTTGTGAGCGGTAAATATGACAAACATGTCGGGTATGAATTAGCCTTTTACAGAGTAGAGACAATATATCCTAGTTATTTGTGTTTGTATCTACAGAGCCACCGTTGTTACTAACAGAAGTACTGTCTGGACCAACATAAAGTCGGTGTTCCTCCAGGCTGATCCAGCCGTCAGTGGTAAGTATATAGTTCTGGTAATGTGACAACACTTCGACCCTTCCGCAGACTAGCCTACATAGCTATAAGTTATTCACTAAAATTCTGATAGCGGAAATTTTGATGAATTATCTCCCCTCGTATGTAAATCAATGGCTTTGTGACCCATAGATGGAAATTGTTAGTTTCTTATCTATCACGTGACCATATCAAACCGTTAAATCACCCTGTAAATAGGTTACCACATATTAAAGAAAAAAATGTTTAACCAGATGTTACCAATTTTGATTTAAGTTTACTTTTTTGCATTTCAAAAAGAGATGTTACATAGGGACAAATTCAAACCATTAAGATATATTTGTCAACAATATAACGCCTTTCATATTGAAAAGCAAATCAACTGTAAAAAGAATGCTCCAGGCCATTTGCCATATATATGTAGCCCAAATGAGACAAGTCTACATGACAATACATCACATGGACTCGCCATGGTAAATAATGCGTCTGTCTCGCACTGGGCACAATACCATGGTCACACCCTAGGGAGCCAGATCACGCGCAGACTCAACGGAAAGTACACAGCATGAGACTAACTTCAATGGGTGCATGCACCACAATACAAAATAAGAAATCTCTCGTATTGTGGACTTAAATACAGAAAATGAAACCGATAAGACATGAAAAAAACCTTATTTATTTGTACTTTTTAAGCAAAACAACAGAAACAGTAAGTACATTATATACTAGTTTTTGTACTATATAGGAGTGAACACCTACAAACTGAACTTCGAGCGTGTTTATGCAACCTTAAATAGCTTGTTATTTATAAAGTTTTCATTAAAATTTGACATGTTACATTGCTATTTATCACCCAGCAAATACTAAAATTCTGGATGAAGTTTTTCTAATGTACCACTAGATCAGCTGGCTAATGTGGTTTACGCTGTTATCGACGCTGTGGTGGGTTAATGTTACTGTTGACTTAGAGACGGATGTTGAAATTGTTGAGATGTGATATGATTGGACAATTTTTCAGTTAAAGCTATGATTGGTTGACGCAGTTGTAGAATCAACGCTATGGTCGGTTAATTTGTCATTTAGATGACGCTAAGAATGGTTAATTTGTTATTGAGATGACGCTATGATTGGTTAATTTGCCATTGATATGACGCTATGATTGGTTAATTTGCCATTGAGATGACGCTATGATTGGTTAATTTGTCATTTAGGTGACGCTATGATTGGTTAATTTGTCATTTAGATAACGCTAAGAATGGTTAATTTGTCATTGAGATGACGCTATGATTGGTTAATTTGCCATTGATATGACGCCATGATTGGTCAATTTGTCATTTAGATGACGCTATGATTGGTTAATTTGTCATTGATATGACGCTATGATTGGTTAATTTGCCATTGAGATGACGCCATGATTGGTTAATTCGCCATTGAGATGACGCTATGATTGGTTAATTTGTCATTGATATGACGCTATGATTGATTAATTTGCCATTGAGATGACGCTATGATTGGTTAATTTGCCATTGAGATGACGCTATGATTGGTTAATTTGTCATTGATATGACGCTATGATTGGTTAATTTGTCATTGAGATGACGCTATGATTGGTTAATTTGTCATTTAGGTGACGCTATGATTGGCTAACGTTATTGAATTCACGCTACTTTGGAATGTAACTGACGCTTTATCAGATGTTCACGGTTTACGCCTGACCTAGTTAAATATTACGCACGCTATACTAGCCCTTCGCTAACCTCCTCGTTTCTCATGTGGAGGATACTGTATCCTCACCCTCCCCAACTCCTCTTTCTTTATATGTCTTATCCTTTATACTCGACCACTTTACTCCTTCCTTCCTTTCAGTGGGATTTCCTATACGTCCACCTTCATATACACATTATTATGGTGCTATCGTTACTATTTTCCCTGTTTAATCACCATAACATGTCATTGTATTGCATGTTTGAGGACAGAGGGCCGCATAAATGATGCCCACAAACGTATTTGATTAATCATTTTTTTGCTGTCTTGGCGCTGCTTTTTGCGCCCAATTCAGTGATGTAAAATTATCATATGTCATTGCTGTTGAAGGGCCACAATGGCCAATATTTTATTTTGTGTACGTAAATCCATTATGACATCGTACAAACATCTTGAAAGCCTTTCCTGATTGTCATATCATACACAAGTTTATAAATGTCGTAAGACAAAGGTAATGCCTTACATCTGTAATAAAATCTACACGGAATATGCCAGTAATTCTTACCACATTTGTTGTTTACAGAAAGACCAGAGTTTGGAGGTACTTGGGAGAAGTTTTGATTCTTTTTTGTTAAATATGTATGCGATGAGTTTTTCAAATCGACAGTCTGTGGCTTCATATCAAATCTTCCTATTGGCAATATTTGAAATATGTCATTTCACCATAAAAGCAAATTAACAATTAAAATCTAGCAGCTTTGGATCATTAGATATCATTTTTTGATGAACATCACTGACATTTTGCACAACAGTAATTAAATATGCCGCTTTTTAAAGAACTAACTACTTAATATATTTCATTTTTATTGAAGACTGTCGCTTCGAAACTCAAGCAAAATGCATGCTTTTTCTTTAAACATTATGCTTATCATCACATCAAATCGTTGCTTGAATTGGCTTGTGCTTTAAATATATATTTGCTATATCACATATTGGTTGCTTGTTTTGGTTTGTGTAATGAACGTGTTTGCTTTACTCTATAATGGTTGCCTGTTTCGGTTTGTGTAATGAACGTGTTGCCTTTATCATATCTCTGCTATATATGGATAATGCTTGTTGCTTTGTTGTTGTATTGATATGCAGCTTTTGCTTGCCTTGTAACGAAATTATGCAATTTATTTTTATACATAGACTTCAACATATCATCACATTTTCCGATAATTAGAAATATATTTCTATACTTTTACGGTAATATTCAAAGAAGTACGACAAATATGAACTAGCACGTCTAAATAGCAAACAGCATTTTATTTATAAAAAAAAAACAGTTTTATTTCAATAAGCACGGACTTGTTGATTATATGTAACATATTCATAGTTTATTATTGTTTGTGAAACGGTTTTTCTACCCTTGTTATTTTAATCAATTGTCACCGAGAGATTCTATGATATACAGTGTGCCATGCCTGATTTTGGTACATAAGAGTCTATATATTATCAAATATACAAAGACATCTATTTTTGTTTTTAATTGTTAGTAGGAGATCTTATACATACATACTATGTGTGACAAATTATCAAATGGCCCTTATCAATCAAAAACATAAATAAAATACAAACATGTAAACATAATCATAATCCAAACTAGGATTCAATAAAACTAGGGCAAAAATGAACAAAAGAAAGTTTAACACGGAACTCCTGAAAAAGTACAAAGAGAATAAGACCAAGTGTTCCGGAAGTGTAAGCGCCTTCTGCTTCATCGACGACACCCGCCATGTAAACCTTGGCCAATCCAAGTAGGTACTGTCACGCTCACAAATGAGAACAAAGTATACAACAACGGAATCTCAGACAAACTACGAACATCAAACATCAAAGCACAAAGAAATAGAATAAAAACAGAATATTTCTCAATTAGATCACAATGGCGACCACAAAACTTTCCCATAATTTTCATCAACCTTTTAAATGTTAAATGTTCTACGATTGATTGTGAATGTTTGCGTGACATATCCGATATTTAAACAGACTTCTTGGACATAATCCTTGAGAATGTGTCATTAATATATTGTATAAATCACCACATAGCGGATGTTGTCGATGAAGGAAACGACTCTTAGGGAACAACTGGTATTGCTTCCAAGGATTTATGTCCTCATTGGATTTTAAGTTTGAAATAAGAAGTTATTTTAATAAAAGCGTCTGCAGTACAGCACAGATGTCATTTCAGTTCGCTAACTTATACAATTATAACAGTAGTTATGTAGTCACAATATAAAAATATATATTTATGTGTAGCCAAAATATACAAATATATTTATTTATATATTTATGTGTATATTAGTGTGTCCGTATTGATTAATACTCTGTATTCATATGGTATTAAACATATCATTTATATACTTTTAACAAAATCCTATTTATCTGTAGGTAGTATAACACAAATGTCGTCATGTTTATCAAAAAGGATTTCTTCTTTGTGGTACATTTAGTACACAAACAATATCATGTGTCGAGAGCTCAAGATAATATGTCGAGCGCTCGAGAAAATAAATCGAGAGTTCGAGAAAATATATCGAATGCTCGAAATAACCGATATAGAAAATATTATCGTTCTCGTCCTGAATATTCCACTGTACATTCGGAATAGACAATGCTATTGTAATCTAACTGAAAACTGTAATAGGATTTTTGAAAAGCTTTTAATCACAGTATCATAATACTTTGCGATCTTGGTTTTCTTGGAGTGTCACAAAATAATACATTTCATATTATTTCACATTCTCGCTTTAATCATACTTAAGGTTTACAAATAAATTACGTGTATTGAGTGGTTATATTCTGCTTGTAATTACAGAAGCGGCAGAAGGTGGTGCGATGGCGGGAGGCTTTGGCGGTGCTGGCGGTACAGGGCTGGACCAATGGGGGTACCCAATCTCCACGACCCCGGGGTACGGAGCGTGGGGAAGTTCCATGGGAGGATTCGGAGGGGGAGTAACCAGTGGATATACCACCGTGTCACCAGATACTCCATCTAGGTCTGAGGCAGCAGCGTCCAGACGTGAGCAGATGTCTTCTGGTCGAAGTCGTTCTAACGGGCGTAGCAGATCTGAAACCACTACACAGACGCCAGAACATGGCGGGCGGTGGGGAGAGGGTAGAAGCAGGAACAGTGGTTGGGGAGAAATGAGAGGAACGAGAGGTAGGGAAGGAGCTAGAGGATCAGGCAGTGGAGGAAGAGGTGGATCAGCAGGAGGATGGGGAGAAGGACAGCGTGGTGGAGGTGGAGGTGGAGGAAGAAGAGGAGGTAGAGGAGGAGGTAGAGGAGAAGGAAGAGGAGAAGGACGAGGAGCAGGAAGAGGAGAAGGACGAGGAGGAGGAAGAGGAGGAGGAAGAGGAGGAGACTGGGGAATGGGAGGCGGCTGGGGCGCTGATGCAGGATGGGGAGCTGGAGGCGGAGCTGGCGGTTTTGGAGGAGGAGAAGGCGCTATGACCAGACGATTCCAACAGATGTTTATGCAGTGGTTGATGGGCGGAGGACAAAATAGCGGTGGCACCGGAAGTGGTGGTGGTGGTGGAAATGCAGGCGGAATGAACGGATTCAGCAATATGTTTTGGAAAAAATAAATGATTAGAATTCAGTATCACAATTTCAATTACATTGCAGGTCTGTTGAACATTTGGTTTGGATAAAAAAATCACGTGTCTGTTTTAGAGTAAATTATACATGTACATGGATGAATGCTTCTTTAATGAGTGTGTTCAGTGTGTATGGGTCTGCGAACGTATACGATAAATGTGTGTTTAAGAGATATGTTGAATCGCACCAGAAACTAAAGATATTAGAAGACAGAAGATATTAGAATTGCATATCACAGCACGAGTTAAAAATGTCTGACATATAGGTAACAACACAGAAAAGATGTTCTTTGTAAAGTGTACACATGACAATCAAATTGGTGAACAGAGACGGTTACACTTGAAACATTTTTTGTGTGCAAAATGACTTTAATTATTCTTTGTCAGGACCTGGTTCTCGATAGATAAAATGAACAGATGTTTTAATGTTACACCAGGACTGACATCTCTATCTGTCAATTAGTTTAAAACAACATGATTATATATACTATTATCTGTGGCTCTTGTTTGCTCTTCCCTTCCATCATTTTAATGACGACCAAACCAGACCTTTGCTTCATTTTGTTTTCTTCAATATACAACGCTTCCCAGTTATTTTTGGGCATTTATTAAGCTCTCTTAAAGTGTTTCGTTTTCAAAATAGGTTTATGATGTTTTTAGTTTGACCATGAGATGGTCATTCACAGCCAAGTTTGACCATCGTCTCGTGATCCTTCACAGCCAAGTTTGACCACCATCTCGTGGTCAATCACAGCTAAGTGTATAGTGCTTTAAGTTAAGCTATATCGACAGGAGTTATTTTTTTTCATACTGTTCTGTTCCCATTTTAAAATGGTGTCCATGTGTCCAATAACGGGACGGAGTGACTGTTAATTCTCTAACTGGTTGTTCTATACAAACAAGATGTTTTTGTATTTGATAGATGCTTTCTTGTTAACTAAACGACCCATAGATATAAGTGAAAAAGGCTACATAGCCTTAACGCTAAACATTTTACCCATGAAAACATGACATTGTCAAAACAAGAAATATTCTAAGTATGTGGTGTTTTGTGGTGTTAAGGAACACACTGTCTTAACGCTAAACCCATTCATTTGTATATTTATGCAAACGTGAACATGACGGTGTCCAGGACTAGATTTTGTTACAAGTTTGTGGTTTAAAGAAAAAAAACCCATTTATGAATTTAAACAAACCTGAACATGTCGTTTTTTCAGGTCTAAATTTTATAATTATAAGTCTGTGTTAACAGCTATACAGTCTTCACACCAAAAACTCTTCAGTTGTATTTTTGATCTATGTTAACATTTTCTGGGAGTATATTATGTAAATCTGATTATGTGTTATTTGTGACGGTAGATACATAAGTAAGATTATAGTGACAATTATATAAAGTTTATAGAAAATGTCAGGACAAAACATCATATACCTGATTATGTGGATCTTAACTGAGTTAGTTGATATTAAACTGTTTAAAACACTACCTGTTTTTGTTTTTATCCGTTATTTACACGTATATGACAATAATGGTTTGTCGCATTGAAGTCAGTTATTTACAGATTTAAGCTGTAAGTTTGGAGAGGTGAAGGACGAACCTCCAACGAACCAAGCTGAAAAAAGCTTATGTATTATGACGTAGAACAACATATTTCTTTCTTTAAATGATAAATTATTATTTGACTTATCACATTTTTTTCATTTACTGGCGTATGTGAGTATCGAAACTTCAATAGTTTGTTGTCCCGTCTGTTCTTACTTGACATTAACGTCATGCCTGTATTTTCCCTGATGACGCTGGCTGAAATAATAGGTCAGCTCGGCATTATAGCTCTAAATCTCAACAAAAAATCAATTTCATTGATTTTCATAAATAACAGTGACTTTATACAATATTAAACTGGCATTTGTAAAGTGAAGTAGTTACCGTATTTCAAACGTAATATTAAAGTACATTCAGGACAACAATTTGTTATATTTATGCACGTTGTAAAATGCAGTAAAATATGTGTGTATGCCGACAATGACAGCCCAAGTTGTAGGATAAATGATAGTATCAAGCAGTATTTGGAAATTCTTTCATATGAAGTCAAATGTATTCACGTCAAAGTGTTGACATCAGTGGATTTACACACTAATCATGACATACATTGTCCTGTTGTTACGGTGGTGCATAAAAAGTGGAAGAAAAACCTTCTAGAACGTGCTGAATATACACATACATAACACAGGCAATTAACTAGGTTATTACATGTATACCAAATATAGAATCTCTGTGTTTCTTGGAGCCGTTCCAGAGACTCAAAAACTCCACGCAACATTCATCTTGAGTCAAATTTCCAATCTAATACTTTTGTGCGGAAGAAATCAATTTTGAAGAATATCTTTAACAGATCTAAAATTGCAGTACTTTTAATGTAAAGTATTGCAAATGCATGAAAATACTTTCATTTTGAAAACATATCAAACGAAAGAATTTTTTAACCTTAAATTAAAATCCATTCTCACACAGAACTATATTTTAACGCGCCTTTACATTTAGAGTTGACAATTAGGTGAGAGATTCGGCTCTTCCCTTTTGTACATCGCTTGAAATATTTACTGCTAGGATATGTTAACTGTCGACATTGTTTCTTGGATGTACGGGTGCGGAAAGTCGGTTTTTATCAAATGTATCAGGGGATACAAATTAAATTTTTGAACACCTTGCTTCTCTTGAGCTCAGCGGAAACACATTAGGCCAGATTTTCTAACTATGAAACTTGAAATGACAGAAAACTTCTCTTATATATGGGTGGATGTAGAAAAGGTAATCCCACCCCCTGTGGCACACACAACAGTGTGATGAAATAGAGATTGGGGTTATATTACTTTTTCTGACCTCTCGGGTGAAATCTCCCTATCCTACATACACACACAACAGTGTGATAAAACAGCGATTCAGGTTTTATAACTTATTCTGACCCCTCGTGTGGAATTTCCCTATTCTTCAGATACACACCTGTTGATAACAATAAACTATCGTCACCAGGAAAATATGAATTCCTCTAGCAAATGGAAGACATACATGTAATGGAAGCTGTTTTGTTGAATGACGGGAGGTTAATCGATATTTTTGAAATTATTTACGAGAGTTGTCTCCCTTCGCATGCGAACCTACCACCGGAAATCCCTCGACTGCTGTCATCTACTTTGTTTTTTCTTGACACCGAAAATAAAGTTCCAATGGTTTGCTTAATGTTAAAATGCGAGGCGACTGACTGGTATTGAGAGCTGCCATGTTGACGACACATGTTTAAAGTTAGACCAGGGTTTATAAAAAGATATCTGATAAAATGTTCATCATTGTATATATATATATATCTAACGTCCTCGACATGTTACAAATGCTACTATCGATTTTGTTGCCAAAAGCAACACCCTTGTATCATTATAACCCGTCTCCACAAATCAACAGCTGCGATATGAGGAAAAATGCTTCCTTTGTTTAATTCATTTCAGCATATTTTTATAAACTACTGGTTATCTGTGACCAAGCCTTGAAAATCTGGGGGCTAAAGCATAGGTTGGTACTTGTTGAAAAGACGCACAAGTGATTGTCACATTTCAGTACGAATTTAGAATTAGTAAAACCAAATACCGAATATGTATCACACAACAGCTGTTCCGTTCTTTTGAAATTCACGACCGGTCTTGCTATAGGCGGCTCCGAATGATAGAGAGTGCTTTATCAGAAAGGTGTGTTGTTGTAAAAGACACTACATCGTGAGAAATGAATTCCTGGTCGTTCTGAATAAATACCGGGGATATGTCTTATTCAGACAAGACATTTCGAGATTTTGACGTGACATTCGGAATGCCTGGTAATGACCTGTAGACGTTGTTACCAAAGGAACCAGTATAGCCCACTGTGGGCTGTAAGGGGTTTCCTTCTTTGTAGACCTTTGGCGTGTAGGACGGCCTTGGTGTCTATAAATAGTGATACAGTGATATAATTTCCTTGTTTTCGATTTAATAGCTACAGGGCGAATTTGAGCTTTCGGTTTTTTGGCGTTTAGTATTATTATTCATATGATTTGTTGTATTCGAGTCACGGCTTAATTCTCATATGTTTCGGTACCCATGACGACATGACGACAGTGGCTTTCCCCTTGTCTGCTGTAAGTGCAATGCTTTATTTCTTTCAGATGTTGTTTGCTTGTAATTTGATTATCTATGATCTCAGTAGATCAGCCTCAGTGTAATACAAGTTCTTACACGCCTGTTCTGTAGCTACGACAAAGCCATTCACATTTTGTCTGGAACGATCTGGCAGAATTCAGACCCTTAGCTTGTATTGTTTTGTCACTGATACAATGTTAATGATTCACTTGTTTGTCATGAAGTATTATGCTGTTATTTTTTATCACGCGTTTCAGCTTTGTTAAATGACGTTTTAGTTCGCATTGAGCTCTCTATCCCCGGGAGTGTCGATAACCGCTCGGTTAGCTGAGTGGTGAATAGTGTTTTCCCGCTTTTTTATGTCCCAGTTTTGTTGTTAATAAGACATGTTCTTACTCTCACTAAAGCTTTCTACTCTTTACTGATGATCTGTCGGACATTGATGGTACAAATCAGGAATCTAATATTGAGACTTAAAGGTGTTATTTCCAAATCCCAGCAGCATAAACACAAGGTGAATTCTGTGTTTCGCTGATTTCTTTTCAAGGATCCAGAGCTTTTCCAGATCTTTGCCCACAATTTGTCCACACACAGCTTGGATATTTCGGAACATTTTTAGGTAGTAAATGTCAACAGAATAAGAGCTAACCCTAACCTAGTAGAAGATCAGACTGTGACGTTTGGATGGCTACGCAATCATCTTCATCAGACAAGCGTGAAGAGTACAAGCACTGAGATTGTAAAATGATTACATTTAAAAGTACACAAGACGGTAACAAAGTTGTGTGGTCGATTTGTCACACGTCAATTGTTAAACAAATCGTAGCGAA